GGCTTTCAGCGGGATGAAGGGACTGATATACCTGTACCTGTCTGAGAATGAGCTTACCTCCTTGAGCCCAGATGCCTTTAAAGGTCTTTCACTGGCAACGTTACATTTAGAGTAGATGTTCAGACAAGATCCAAACTCACTTTCTTTTTTTCTTTAAGGTCTCCCTAAGCTGACTTACCTCCATTTGGAAAAGAACCGCTTTACCAGCTTCCCCAAAGGTGTCTTCAAACTGGTGCCCAGTCTGCTTGCACTTCATCTGGAGAACAACTCCATCACTAAGCTGGAGCCAGGTATCATGACGGGGGCTGAGGGTTTGAGAGCTCTCTATCTCACCGGGAATGCCATTGTGCACGTGTCGCCCAGGGCTCTTTACCAGGCAAATGACTTGGACATGCTTCACCTGGGAGGAAATAAGCTCAAGGAGGTGCCCACTGAGGCACTGAGCAAGGCTGGGAATCTCCGAGACCTCAGGCTGTCCGGAAATTCAATTCGTTGGATCGGATCGAATGCTTTCAAACCTCTGGGGAGGTCACTTAAAGAGCTGTACCTCAATAACATGGGACTGGAGAAGGTGAGCGGGCTTTGTGCACTCTACAAACGTTTTCATATGTAATGTCGATTTTTTTCAAACCGATGTGATTGCTTTTGCTGCAGATGTCGCAGAGCGCCCTGGCAGGACTGGGTCCTGGGTTGAGGAGTCTTTTCTTGGAGGGCAACCAGCTGGAGGAGGTCCCTGACTTCCACCCACTCACCGCTTTGGAGGTCATCAATCTCGCTGACAATCCTCTAATGTGTGACTGCCCCCTACTGCCACTACGCATGTAAGACAGCTGCAAGTCAATAATGTAGTTAAATAGGACTGGGGTTTGGACGGTGAGAGATTCTAGTATGCGAAAATGTGAATGTTGGTCATTATGGGAACAAAACCATTTCCAAAGACGCATCTTTATCTTTTAAGATTAGCTTTAAGGTTCACATATTATACCGTTTGGCTCAATAACATTAAATAACTAACAATAGTAACTAATTTGGATCTTTTCTTTTTATCTAGGTGGATTGAGAAAGTTAACCTGAAGGTGCGAGCCACCTGTGCCAATCCACCTGAATTGCGGGGTCGGAGGGTCAAGGATGTCCACGGGTTCAAAGCCTGCCCTGGTGGAGAGAGTCTTCCCTCTGCCCCTGCTGTCACCTCAAAGTCAGCAAAGGCCCCCAAGGCAACCAAACCCAAACCGATGCATCTGAGCGGCCATCGGCAGGTCAAGATGCTCAAGGTCAAATCCAAAATTCGAGGGAGTCCAAACACAAAACAGGGTGCAGCAAAGAAAGCTGCTGAAAGCACAAAGAGACGCAGCATGCCCTGAAACTCCCGCCTTTTGGCGTTGCTTCCATTCTGGCGTTCTGTGCTGACGTTTTAAAGTCAGGGCTTCAATGCAAACATCAGCACAGCGCAGAACCAAAGTTTTGAGGTTAAACACTGAACTGAACTGTCCCAGCTGCAGGAGTCGGGCTTTTTTCACACTAATCATTCTTGCTGTCTTAGCACAATGTTGAACAACAGTATAAATTCTTTGTACGGTTGCATTAGTAAGCTATATCATGTTGGGCTTTAACTTTTATCACCTTAAAAGCGCTACAGTCAGGTATTTGCACAGTACTAGTAGTTTTGCCACAGTACATTTTCAATCAAGCAATTAAGATTTAAACTTTGATTTAAGGAGTTTATGTTAAAATTGTAAAACTTAACTGGACAAACTAACATCATTTTTAATATAAGGATTGTTTTTAGTACTTGGATGAATATATGTAGCATTTGGCTGATTCTGAACAGAGTATGGGCCTGTATACTCCACATATCACATGACAGAAGATGACCACTGACATCTTCTGTCAGTGGTCATGTCATCAATAAACACTAGCGACCGGTGCCTGGTTTCCACTGGCAGCCACGTTCATGCCCATACCATCACACTGCCTCCACCATGTTTGACACAGGATGTATTCTTCATGAGCTATTTCTCTAATTCTCCATACTCTCCCCTTCCTATCATTCTGGTACAAATTAATCTGTCATATTATGCATATGCACTCTTCTCCAGCAGTCTAATCCAGGGGTGTCAAACTCCAGGCCTTGAAAGCCAGTGTCCTGCAGGTTTTAGATGTATCCTTGATCCAAGACAGCTGATTCAAATGGCTAAATTACCTCCTCAATGTGTCTTGAAGTTCTCCAGAGGCCTGGTAATGAACTAATTATTTGATTCAGGTGTGTTGACCCAGGGTGAGATCTAAAACCTGCAGGACACCGGCCCTCGAGGCCTGGAGTTCCCCACCCCTGGTCTAATCTGTTCTTGCTTTTGACAAATTACTTGGACAGCATTTTGTATTTTTATTCGTGAGGATATCTGTTGATGGTAGAAGGATTCTTGGCTATGTTAGATGTTATGAAGTAGTTTTTCCTAACCAGTGAAAGAATTCTCCAATTCTCCTTCAGATATCTTTCGGTGTTGCTGAGCTGGCCAGTAAATACATTGTTTTTAGGAATGTACCCGATTGTTGTTTTGGCCTTTTATATTTAATAGTACATGTATGATGGAAAATAGGAAAAAAAGAATAAAGCATTGCTTTACTGAGCCTGCAGGTGAGGCTAGTTAATCTTCACTGTAGGCTCACAACATACTCAAAGTTGAAAATCATCAAATCACATTTAGATAATATATTTTTAAAAATACTGCAATTGACTGTATATTTACAAAAGGATCTATCTGGATATAAAACATTAAAAAAAAACTTGTCAAAATCTTTTTGATAAAGTCTTTTTATTTATTTGTTTAATTCTTTTTTCATTGGAGTGATTCAGCTATATTCTTTTATTCTCTATGATTCATCCATGGTACTGTCGTCTTCTTGGCTCAACTCCTCTTTGTCCATTCTTTCATTTTCACTCTGATCAGTGTTGCTATCACCGGTACACCGTCCTTCAAGCAATGCATCGTCTTCAGCCACGTCTTTAGTTTTACTTTGCTCCGTCTTCTCCTGTTCTACATTATCCAAGCTGCTTTGCCCTCCCTCTTCTTGTTTGATTATGCACACAGAGTCTTGCTGAAAGTTGTCCGGTGGCCTAATGGGGGTCTCCGTTTCCATTTCCTCCACTTTCACCTTCACTGCAACGACTATTAAGACAATTAAGTCAGCAAATTTACCAAAATGGGCAACTAGCATGCAAATGAGGAAAAAGTGACTCATTTGAGAATTGTCTCTTACTCTCCTGCTCCTCTGGCTCAGTCTTGGGCTGGATGAGTGGCACTTTTGGAGGAGTGCTTTGAGGACTTTCGGTGTGTTGATCAGCACCGTCTTGAGCTTGGTCCTGAGAAAGCCTCTTTTTTGTGTGCTTCTTTTCTACAAAAAGCAAAGAAAAGGAGATCATTCTCATGTGTCAAGTAAGACATTACCGATACAAGACTACATATACTTTTCTGAATAAAACCTACTCTTTCTCCCGAAAGAAAAGCGCCGGCATTTCTTGTTCCGCACCAGCTGCTTTTCAATTAAGTCAGCTAGAAAACAGAATGAAACACCAGTCACTTTGTTTCACACTCAGAAACATCTATGCATCACTCATCAACCAGTCACTTCTGTCTGTGACAGTTTAAGGCTGGAGCTTAGTGAGTGTAGTGAACTGTTGCTGTATTTATAATCAAAATTGAAGTGTAAATGCGCTTAAAGAGCGCCTTTTACGCTAATTTCCAGATTTGTTGTTGTACACCACTAGAGGAGTTAGCGTTATTCATAGCACAAAATAGCTTTGGCGCAGATGTGTCGAGGATATGTGCTTTCACTGACATCACACAGATCCAAGATGAGAAAAAACTGAAATGCAGCATTTAGAGGCGTCTCAAGCCAAGCTTTTGGCTCATGGGGATGACCTCATCATACTCTGACCTTATCTATTGAAACCTTGGCCATTAATCCCCTTTAATCAATGCCTCGGTACTCTTGCATTAACCCACATCACTTCAGTGCTCTACATGTTGTTTCAAAACAGTGTTACAGTCCGCTGTATTTACCGACTCCAGGAGGTGACTGGAGCTGGTAGCCCATGAGCTCACACCAGCCAACTGGGTAGATGTCAGGAGACTGGTGGTCAACCCACTGGTCAAACTCATCCTCCCAGCCGTCAAAGTGGATGAGGAGAAGGCGGCCGACACAACGCTTCACGGTGGCCACGCACACGAGCCGTGGCTCCATCAGGTCCACGGCCTCCAGCTTCTTGTTGGGGGAGAAGCCGTGACCTGGGTAGTCCTGAAAGAAGTGTCATATTTATTAGTGTTTTTACATCAATAGATACATTTGAAAAGAAGCCATCTTGTCCTATTAATTCAACTTATAAAACATGTGATAGCAAGGTCATCCTACAGCATCTTACAGCATTGAACAGTCTCACGGGCGCAGCTTTTGCTTTGGTCTCCTCCAGGTACTTTTCCCAGGTGAAAGTCTGAGCATCGTAACCTGCCAGGAAATACATAAAGCGACAGGAAATATATGGTGAAGCATTTCAGCACCAGCAGACAAGTTAACCTGCAAACTAAGAAACAGAAAAAAAACACACCTGGAGGTACAGTGAGAGGGATATTGTTCTTTTTACAGAAGTTAATTGGAAGAATGGCGTGAGAGGAAGCATGGTAACAAAACCAGTCTGAGCCATTGTTTGATATGGTGCCATCAATGCCCACCATCAGGTACCCATCAAACAGCACCTGGGAAAAAAGAGGAGTAGAGTCAGAGAGAGGAAAACCAGCGGTAGAGATACAATCTCTACAATCCAGCTGTTAGGTGGAGGAACACACCAACAAGAACCTGCAGCGGGTGGAGAACTGGCTTTTGTAATGCTATGCTGAGCACAACAAGGCTTCAGCAAGAAGTACCAGCTGCAGACCAAGATGAAATCAACTCAACCAGTCCTCTCTTAAGGCGCTTTCTATTTTATGGTAAAGACCCTAAAATAATACAGAGAAAACCCCAACTATCAGGAAAGAAGACACGCTGTGGAAGATTAATAATTAAATGCAAAGCGGTGTATAAACACAGTGCACGTATGAAGGAGTTAATCCACATGATGAGAGACCCACTAAAGAAGCAGCTGATTATACTGCTGAGTTTACAGAAGATACCCCTGCCATTAGCTCATTTATGAGCGGTTACAGTTACAAGGGGATCTAAATCTCTGGGAAACACCAAACCTAGGTGACAGGTGATGAATCCCAAACACACATAAACAAAGTCAATAACAGCTACCTCACCTTGTGTACTGTGGCCACACAGATACTTCCCAAGTTGAGCGGGTCAATGGCCTCCAGCTTCATTCCTTCTTCGAAGAAAGTTCCCTCCATGTAGGTGAACCTCGGCTGAGGACAGTACATTACATTCATGTGAAACAGTGAAGAGGTAAGGCTTAAACTTGAACTGAAATTAGCATAAGAGTAGTAACGATGATGATTACTTCAGCTATTTTTGAGTTCTGACTCAAACAATCCACAGCTTTTGGACTTTGGGGGTAAAGCATGGAGAAATAAGAAATAAATACATTTAATGAATCCTATGATTTTCTAAACTACACCACAATCAAGTGCAGATTTACTGCTAACCTTATAGTACACTTATACCTTTGGAATAAAATAATTCAAAAAGGAAGAAAGAAATGATTAGATCCATCAACTGAATTCAGGCTATGACTTACGTCAGTGTTCATATACTTCCTTACCTTTTTAAAGAGCATGAACGTACTGTCAGAATTGCCCCTCAGACCACTGGAAGACTCCAGATTGTTTGCTATAAAAATAAGAAGGTTTCATATTTTAATCTACAACAAATCTAAGAGGAAAAAGCAAAGTAATCTTCTATCACCTGCACAGTACATGCTACATTTCAGAAAACAGAAATCTTTAAAATCATGTATTTAGTTCAACATCTGTGCAGTTTCAGGTCATAAAAACTTTCACTGTGATTACAAATAAAATTATCCACACTGCCAGTGTTATGCTGAGGTCCAGTATCCTTTTCTAAAGTCAGAGTGTGTCTCCAAATATTTCTTTCCCCTTAAAGTTGATTAGTCCTGTTCATATTAACTACAGTGCAGGTCGATGGAGTGTTGTTTTTACTGCTGACTGCTTGGTTTCCTACATCAAAGTTAATTCCCTTTTGCAAGTTTTTGTTCTGTACCCCACATCTTCAGCTCCAGTGGGGAACCCGTTTTCATACTTACCAGGCGCTTTGATGTCATGACCCACTTTTTTGGACCAGCCTATCGGATGCAGGAGGGGACTCCATATGTGACACCAGAAATCTGAGATGATGTTCTCAGGGGTGTCACTTTGGTCCGCGTGCACCAGACGTACACGGCCACCGATGTTGGTGTCCACGATGGCCACGCGTGTCCGGCTCACGTATTTGGAGTCCACCACCTCCACGCGCATGCCCGCCCTGAAAGAGTTCTTCATGCTTTCTGCAAGCTGGAACAAAGAAAAGCGGGAGGGTGGCAGAGTGACAGAAAGTTGCTGATTATGTGCTGAATTCAGTGACTTCTATTTCATTTAATCCATTACACTCTTTATAAGTATGACATACAGGGCAATTCATAACATCAGGCAGTACCTTCAGGTAGAACTCAACAGGCAGAGTGTGGGCCCCCACCAACCTCTTCATCAGATACTCCTTCCAGTCTGGGATGTCCTGCTTCAGATCTACAGACACGCAAATCATCAAACAAGAAAAATCTCTTTGTGGTTTATTCCCCTCTTATTTTTCATATTACATGTTACATAAACATTTTAGTCAGAGTGTGTGGTCTCAGGACTTCATTACACAGAGTTTCAGTGATGAAACTTGGAGAGGCATTCTCCTTTTCTGCTCCATCTCACAGGACTTTTAGCTCTCTCAATTAATTTCACTTGCAGACTTTAAAAGAGTACAAATGACCTTGTGAAACCATCACTGGAAACTTTTTCCTATGACTGTGTTAATGAATCTTTATTTTTGTTATTTTATTGCTATTTTACTGTTTTTTATTGTTGTAATTTTAATATGTTTGTCAGAAACAGGTCCCTTTCGTAAATGTGACATTGGGACTACCTGTATAAATAAAGGTTAAATA